TTCTCTCAATCTTGAAAACAATCTTGAAAACCCGAGCTTCAAGTCTGGTAGCTATCATGTCCAATACATGAACTACGCAGAGGTGAACTGGTTTTTTCTTATAGGCTCGTTTGCCCAATTCCAATATGGTGAATATCACACAAATTACCGGAGCTGAAATGGATCAGCTTAATACATGCGCTGACGATACTCGGAGCAACACAGACCATGTCACTAGCTAAACTTGTGCTCCTCTACTTCACCCTTCAATCCTATGAAATCGCCGGTCCACGATGGTGGTGCCTCGAAGCCACTGACCATCTCAAGTTGGCACGTTGTCCCACGGCACTAGGGATTGTGTCCAAAGGATGCCCTGTTGTTTGACACTCGCTGCAGTGTCACAAAAGGGACTTGTGGGCTTTCTTTTCTCCATCTGTAATGGCAATGAATCTTCTCATTAACTATAAATAATCTCTAGTTAATGTTTTCAAAAAAAGTATCCAACAATGAATAATAATAAGCTCAAATATGTATATATCCCTCGGCATGTATTCATCATCAACCGATCAGGCACTACTTTTAACAAGCATATCCATCATCATTGGGATGCAAAACATTAAAGCCAAACATCATTGCTAACGAGGAAACCAGACCCCTTGCTACTGCAAAAACATTTAGCCTGGACTGATAGCACAATATCAAAAGATTAAACTAACAAAGAAGTGTTCAAGGATGAACAAAATACCAAGTTCAAGCAGAAAACTTATGCATCCCTCAATACATGTATTTATCGTCACACGATCATTGACCGATCAGTCTATTTTTAACAATGACTATCATCATCATCATCGGGACGCAAAATAGTAAAGTTAAAAGCCTAAAATTGTACCCATCCCAAGAACATCAGTTGTCAGAAGCATTTAATCCGAGCAAGAAAACATATATAACTATAAAGTGTTACAATAAAAGATTAGATGATCATCATAGGGATTATAGAATTGAGTACATAAAAGAACGAAAACCCATAAATAAAAACCATCATGGGAATCCCTCACGTCTCTCAGGCAATTATCATCAACAAAATCAGGCTACTTTTAACATGATAAATAGCCAGCGCCATCGGGATGCAAAAAAAGATTGAACTTCGAATTCACCAAAGAATAAAGAAGAGGAATTCCAAACTAAAAAAAGAACGAACATACATCGGATTTGGTGATTTCGTACTAAAAATTGGGGGGGGGGGGGGGATTACAGAACTCCGTGCCTGTTGCTGAACTCCTAGTTAATTTATAGGACGATATGACAACTTGAATTGCCTGGATAGTCCTTCATATAATATACTGTATGGTAAAATTACAATAAAGAAAACTTGAGATATTTTCTGAGACAACGAGCTGGTTTTGGGTTTTGAGCCCAAGAAAAAATGGTTTGCTTCCCAAATGGCAAAGGTCTTATAGAACAATATTTGCTTTTTGTCACAATGTGTTTAGCTCGGCTGAAATCCTCGGGCAAAAACACATACCATGGTTATAAAAAAAAAAACAATAATTTGGTTCTGGGTTTTGTTTTCTTTGCTGTCTTTTTAAATCTTAAGTGTTAAATCATGGATCTGGGTTGTCCGTGATGGTTGTGCTGATTCTTCCATTGATCCTGTACATCATGTTTTACAAGGTTCTTTAATTCCCCCTGTTTTTCTCCTCAATTCTCTTTTTCATTTATAATCGTGAACCTATGTACCAAAAACTGAATTATCAGAGCCACTTTTCGATCGTGTGACCTGTGGGTTATGGACCCACCATGCTTTCGCTGCGCCACTCTAATTTACAATGATGTATTTCTCTGGTCTAGAATAGAAATTAAGATCAAAGTGCTGCCCTTTTCCCAACTCAGTAACTCCAATCTCGCAATAAAAGGCTAAAGAAATTGATTGCACATATATGGCTGTGCTTAAGCGATAAAGTAGCGCTACATAGCCTGTAAGAGAAACCTTCTGGCAGAAACATAGGGAACAAATTATCTTACGTAAAACAACTTCGTCAGCTAAACTAGTCGAAGCACTAAGTGAGAAATTGAACTGAGAATGGACTCTATGCTCAGTACCATGAAGAGAATGACCATTTTACCAACTGAAACCATGAATAGGATATATACACACACATCAAACTATTTTGTCTAGGTACACTGGCTGCCAAGTCTTAAGTTTAGGGAGACGAGAGAATTTTGCTTGATTCGTAAGTCTTTTCTGCCAGACATTCAGAACCGATGAGATATGTTATCCAAACCTGACCAGACCTCACCGGTTCATCATCATCATCATTCCGGTGCCAGCTCCAAAAGGCATGGGTTGAATTCACTATCTTGAGCTCACCGTGACCAAAGCTCGCTTCACGGAAACTTACCACTCAGGTTTTGGGTGTACATACCTGTAAGTATATTTAATGAGAAAATTATATCACACTATGCTTTGCTTGAAGTTTAACTAATCATTCAAGGTAAGCTCAATTTTATGCTCAACATCGTTAGAACACACAAGATAAATGCATGCTGTTTGATTTGAACATCTGGAATCTAAATTTTAAGCAATTTGATCTATGCCACGGAACAAGACATACTTTTGAGCTAAACCTTCTCTATTGCCTCCATCTCCGATAGTAATATGAACAGCACCACAAGGATCTGATTTTCCCTTGTTAACACGTTTCTGTCAAGTAAAGAACAAGACATCATATATCCATCTAATAATAGTATGATACAAAACTAGAAACAGAGCTTAGGTAGTATTGACATACGGTGTCCCAGCGGTGTTGCATGCAATCAGCACACGAAAGGTCCCCGGGAAGCATATGTACATCATATTTGCATTTGTCAATGTGGTCTAACGTCGATTTAGTCCAGCCAGTTTGACCTAAATCCCTAGCCACAGCAAAAGTAACAAGAAATTGTCCAGGAGGGGTCTTGAGCTGAAATTCAGGACCTTGTCCACCACAACGATAGAAATAAACAGTATCGTGCTCCAGAGGCCCAATGACAGTGTGGTGTATCTTTCCAGAGCTATAAAATAGGTACTTATAAGAGGTGGTCTCTCCTTGAGACAAAATGTTTTTCCTTCCCCGCAAGTATAGCATGATGAGCCCATGTTACGGCAGCTCCAGATGAAAGGAGAATAGGGGTATTAAGAAAAGGGATTTCCCAAGGATCTAAAACCCCAATCCCTTTTGGGGGCCAAACACCTCCAATCTCTACCGTAGGTGCCAAAGAAGAATGAGAAGAAGCCCAAAAAAAACCAAAAAATAACATAATCTCTGATACGATAAACAGAATAAAACCATATCGAAGTCCTAATTGTACGACTTTGGTATGATGTCCTTCCAACGATTTTCTCCTGCCAATGACACATGTACCTGCAAAACTTATTAGTCAAGCACAACGCATTTCAACCAATTGCAACATGAAGGTCTCAACGGAATCAACAGAAAGTTAAATTGCCAAAAGAAAATTTTTGTATATACAAACACAGCAGTATTTACTAGTATTAAAATACAGTCATAACTCATAACAGTAAACACGGGTATTCATTTTCTCTTCATTGGCGAATTCCAACCTTCACTTCAAACGAAAAGACAGATCAAAAGTAAGATAGTAGTTCCGATAAGCAAATCATGTTGCGATCGATCACAGTTATGATGTAAGTATTATGATTTCTAACAAATCATTCATTTTGCTCTTTAGGAAGGAATAAGCTTGGGTTTGATCCATGAATGTGCAGCAGTAATACCTTACACCGGCATTTTTCAGTTTTAAATAATATTTCCTCAAAAAAATCAGGGAAGGTTCCAAACCATAATCACAGATACCTATCATGATAGATTGCTTAAATTTACAAATTTATCATGCAGGTCCAATCAACTTCAGAAACAACCAAATCCATCAGCTTAAATTTTAAGTTTCACAGGCAGCAGAAATAGAAAATCCATAAAATAAAATTGGCACTAAAACAGACAAAACTAAACGATCAAAATTAAAGCTACTTCAAGGTAAACCCATTTCTACAAACATAAAAATAATCACGAATACCCACTCAAACATAAACATCTATACGTAAAGAATTTTTTTTTCTTTCAAAAAAATGAACACAAGAAGGCAAAAATCAAGAAAGACCCATATCATATCAGATCAAGCTAAATAAATAAAAATATTGAACCTGACCAACAAAAACTATTAACAACAGAGAAACTAGACTGTTACAGATAAAATTTAGAAAGTTACCTGCTGAGGCACAGAAGGGTGCTTTGGGTTCCGTGGGAAATGCAAGGTTTTTCGAGGCTGAGGTCTAACGTAATCGGTTCTGACAGGTAATGAGATTGACAAAAGAACACTTAGCAGTATCGTAGAGATCATTGTTTTTGTTTTCATTTTTTCCTTTACAGAATCACTTCCCTTGTGAAACGCAGAACTGAAGGAGAAAAAGAAGTTCATCTTTGTTTCTTTGTCTTCACTTCATCCATCAATCAGGAGTCCATTTTTCAAAATGACTTTTATCCTTGTTAACTTGATGGTTTTGTGATAGGATAGTGGCACTCGTGCCCTATTCGAGGAATTCACCGTATTGGTTTTAGAATATTCTATTTATGTTTGTCTACGAAATAAGATTCTCGTTTATCTCCGTCATCTTTTTTCTATTCATGCAATAATGCAATGGCAAAATCCATCATGTGTTTAAATACCAGTTCGTTATTAAAATAGTGGTAGTTAGCGAGAATGGCACCCTCCAAAATCATGATATTCACAATAACTGTAATAATAATTGTTATGTCCATAATTTTAATAAACGTAACACAACAAAAAAAATAAAAAACGCAAGTAACATCGCAATTTAAATATCTGATGGTGAGGTGCGAGTAACATCGCAGTTTAAATCTCTGATGGTGATAACCTCACGGACATAGGAAGAAGAAAATGAAATCCAAGACAGTTAATATCTAGAAAGATAGGGCTCAGAATTGCATGTCAGAAACCATGGATGTTCATAAGAAAAGGAAGCCGCATGTATTTAACAAGAAACTAATGTTTCCCGGCATACTAAGTTATGACAGAGCTTCAAGTAACATGAAAGATAGCTTTTCTACATATCTATAAACTGGAAAGCTTTATTCTATTGAAACTGCTTTGATCCTAAAAGGTCAAAGGGAAATCTGATGCAGCCTATTGTAACTTTTAAGGTTAAACCTCCAGGGTAAGTCTAGCTCCTATACTTTTTTTAGGATTGAAAACATTTTGCACAGTATTCAATTCAATTAAAAACGCTCTACAATATTTGCGACATTCGAAACTCATGACTGCTTGTTGGAATCATGTCTTTCTTGATCTCTCGGTTTCTTCAGAACCAATGGCTGTCTGTTCGATATGAGATGCTTGGTTTTCCCTCATGTTCTCTTGAACAGCCTTGAAAAGAAGTGCAGCACATCAGTGTCTATGACGAACATCAAGGTGCATGATAGATTAGTTCGATATGGAATTAAAATTGAGTTTGGATTTATTATACCTGCAATAGCTCAGTCATCTTGCCAGTTCTGAAATTTTCCAAAGGTTTGAATACAGTAGGATGAGTAGGCTGTATGGCTTGTAGCGGTTCAATAGAGAGTGGCTGATCATCTTCCATTTTATGTCCGAAATATTTGACCGATGAATTACCATTTGACTTCCCGGTGATTGTGCAGGGACTTGAACCCTTTTCATGACTTCAGTTAATAGTTTCTCAAAAGGCATGTCAGTCATTGATTTAGGGTCTTTATCATGTAAACCCTCAGTTGGGAGTTGACCATATGGAACAGTTTCACTTTGCATGCCTTTTGGCACGTTGTAGTTATTACTTTGAGGTTGAGTAGGAAATATTTGGTTTCCAACCATTGGCATCGGGTTGACGGGATTTTCCTTTGCTGTATTGGCATCTCCAGACACTTGTTTGCCTTTACAGGCTGCCAAATGAGGAGGTTGGCTTAATTGTTGACTGGCAACTTTGCCATTCGAAAAACCGGCAGCAGGTTTTAACACAACAGGCACCACTGTGCCCCTGGACAATAGTGGAGAAACATACTGGGTTGCCCCCGACTGCATATGCTTGCTTTTTAAGGCTCCAGTATTCGAAGCCCGGGCACATGGCACCTGGTTGGAGAGAGCTGGTCCGTTGACTGGAAGAGCAGTTCCATTCCTCTCATGGGGGAAGGGAATCTCGTTTCTTCTAATCATTTGGAGATTTGGAGCCACGTCATTCTCCGCTGAAACAGGAACAAAATTCCCGGGCTTGAAAACCACACCCCTTAAAGTTGTGTCAGTGTCACCGACCCTAACGGTAAGCAAATATCCTGCATCAAATGCGGCATCGATAACACCACTAACAGCCTGACCAACCGTTATATCATTTGCATCATTGATTGGATTCATTTGTTGCGACTGATTGCCATTCACCCCTTCAAATCCAGGTGGGATACGGTTCGGGTTCTGATTCCATGGAGTCCGAGCATCCTGCCCCTCATGTAGAGTATATTTTGGATGTTTTCTCGGGCGACCACGTTTGGGCTTCAGCAGAAAATCTTCCGATGCATTAGGGTTATTCTCTTGGCTATTGTCTTGATTCATCATATTATACACAGAAAAGAAATCGCCTTATCCACAAATCTTATCACTGTTCCCTTCCTGTTCCTGGAAGACAAAAGGCCAGCTATAACTAACACAGGAAAAGGCAACATTTCAACTTCATAAACAGTCAAGAAAGAGTGCTGCCATCTCAACATCAGTGCAGATTCACATTAAGGCCAAAACTATTCCTCTTTACCAATTCTGCAGTCAACAATCAAGCATCTTAACTCTTACTAAAACGGCCGGTCGCAATCAAGTTTCTTACCAAAATAGGCCATGTGAATATCAATAATACTCATTGAATGAACCATAGCCACCATATATGTTTCGCTAATTACAAAGGGGAATGAAAGGCTAAGATTGCCTCTAATTTTTTTTCCCAGAATGGAAAAGATCTCTTCAAATTCTGATAACAAAATTTAAACATTAAATTCAAGAAGTTCTAAACTGTTCAAACAATTCGAGCCCGATTAACATACAAAACTAATAAAGCTCTCAAGCATCATTTTCCTTTTAACAGGAAAAAAACCCTCATCTCATGCATGCAATCTGTGAGATAATCTACACAATAATTTACTTATAAAATCACTCATAATTGAAAATTAATAAATAATAATAAAAGCAAAATTAAGCTCTAAGAGAAACTCCATTGAAACGTAATAAATAAAGATACCATAAATTACTATTAAGAAAAGCGAGAAGAGCAGACCTTTTCACAGCATTTTGTCAACTTCAATAATAAGGAAAAATCCTGCAACAAGCATAATAAATTAAAGATTAAAAGTCAATAAAACATGAAAAAAATCGAAAACCCAAGTAAGGAAGTAAACAGAACAGTCGAGAAATGAAAAAAGTTTACTAAACCCAAATAACTTAAAGAAAAAAATCCTTAAATTTCGTACAGAGTAACATGAAATTAGGGATTAAAAGAAAACAGCTGACCTTTTTTTTTTATGGCGTCTTACTTCTGTTCCTTTGGGTTTTTTGCTTTCTTAAGAAAAATTAAAACCTTCATTAAAGATAAATCATTTTTAAGGAAAAAAATCTGGCTTTTTTCTCATTAAATTTTGTTATTTTGGTAGCGAGGAAAGATAAAGTGACAGCTTATATGAGGCGACTTTCAAAAGGAGCAATGAAAAAGATGCCATCTGTACAGTACAGAATGTTAGTAATAAGGCTAATGATCGACACATTGGTTAAGAGGGTCCTTACAGGAGTTTGTTGGCAAAATTAGGAGTTATATACTAAAATATTACTTTTATAAAAAAATAAATAAATGTGATTATTTGAGTAATTGTTTCTGCACGATGTATATTATCCTAAGTTAAGAAAAAATTTAAAATATATTAATTTATAATCATTTTAAACTATTAAAAATATATCATCAAAAGAGTAATTTCTCAAGACTCGAATAACTCAAATGACTGAAAAGCCTAATTAAACTGATCCTTCCGTATGTTGAATAACACATTAGCTGAAAATAGACATTTACATGATTCACCATCTATGAACAATGTGGATCTTATAATTCAAGCTTTCTCTATTCAACCTTAACATAGTCCTTGTTTACATAATGTGCAACCATGCTCTTTGTCAACTGTAGTTATTGTTTGATGCAAGCCCTGTTAATCCTGTTGCAGGCCTTTGTACCTCCATGCTCAAGATGCTTCGGCATTCGATTCATCGTTATTGTTTGTTTCATACACCGTTTTGCAGGTGCTGGAGAAAATCCATAGTCACATTATCTGTCCAGGGAGCTCCAAAGGGTGCCTCATCACCGGCAACCCATCCTAAATGACCACCCTGGGGTGTTACTATCAACATGCAGTTCGGATTTCCATTGATATCTTCATATGGAGTTGCCTCAATGGGAGCAATCGGATCATTTGCAGCCTGCAGATCACCATTACTGAATCAAGGATTTTAAGAATAATAGATGCTGAAATCAATCTTTTTAACATTGGAACTTTTAAAACCGAATCGAATCACAGCATGAACTGCTCATAAAATTACCTGGATGCATAGCAAAGGAATCCGAACATGTTGCAAGACATGACAACTACATGAATTTGAGTAATATTCATCCACTGATTTGTATCCCAATGACACTGCAAGGTGTTAAGTTGGTCATCACACATATCTCATATTCGACACTCATCCAATCCGGAATTCGAAAAACATAGTTTCAACATACGGGGAAAAATACCTCGTGTTATTGCTTCATCATATTCACGTACGGTCCGAGGATTCAGACCCGCCAGGACATTATATTCATCATGTGCATCTTCAAACAGGGAAGCATGTCTATCATTGTAGAACAATTTCAGGTTATATTCTACTGGGAAAAAATGACATCTTCAATTTTTAATGCAAATAACAGTAACAGTGAGATGAATTTCACGTGTAATTACTTTGAAAAGGTTGTAGAAAGACCTCCCCTAAGTGCTCTGTCATAAATATTGTTGAAGCCCTTTCGGAGATTTTCATCCGCAATCACTAAATTGAAAGGATTGCATAATGATACAGCACCAGAGAGGGAGCATCTATGGTGCTCCTGCAAGCCAAATATTAAGAAACTTATACTCAAGACGCACTATGTTATTCCAACTCTTCGTTATATGCGTAGGATATAAGCTGGAACATAAAGAAAAACTAAGTTTCCTTACTCTTCCCAAGTAATTAACAAGGATATTCCCTCCAAGAGACCAACCGACACCGTAAATACTTGCTTTCGGGAACAAGGAGGATACATGATCTACAACATGACAAGTATCTTCTGTGAAAGAAGCTGTTTGGAGCTGCAAATCAGGGATAAAATTAAATATACATCGGCGTATTTTTAAAATCTTTATATGAATGAAATATATATATACCTGCGGAGTAGTAACAGGGCTATTAGAACATCCCCGGCTATTGAACACCACAACCCTCCAGCCTTTGTTCTTAGCTTTCACCAACATATGCTTCACGTATGAATCTTGACTCCCTCCAGTTAGGCCCGGCTGCAAACATGCTCCCACCAACCAAACAAGAAGGGTAGAATATTAAACCCTTAAATTTCACTACCTTTTCCTTCTTTTCAACAAATTGAAGAAAAGTGTATTTAGAACTGGTAGTATGGATTTATTCGGATATAATAAAAACAAACCAGTAAAATGAGGATTGGAGAGTCAGGAGGCAAGCTGCGGCAGTCTCCACTGACCCAATCCAAGGCTATAGTTCCGTTGTCTTTGGTCCGGAGACATTCACGGCGGTACTGAATGTCGGGGACGGTACGGAAGAAGGCGGCGAATATGGTCTCGAGATGGCAGTTCCAACCAATGATGGGGAAAGGCTTGTAAGCAAGGTGACTGGTTTTGAGAGCAGGGAGGAAACGCTCAGCTCCTCCGCCAGTGATTTCGAGTGGAGGGTGGTGATCTGGCATCGATGTTGTTGTTGTTGTTGTTGTTGCGGTTGTGGCACTGAAACAGAAGGTGGGTAGCGGCGTACGTTGGTGGTGGAAAAGGGTGGCTGATGGTGGTTTGGAGGTCAGTGACAAGGGTGATCTCGCCATTAAGGAGTCAAGTCTAGAAGTCTTCAGATTTTCTTTTGATAGATTATGAAGTTGTGGCTGTTAAGAGATGACGCAGATTTTTGTCTGAAATTCTTACATGATTTTGCTTCACGGAGAGTGGGAACACGGTACTTATTGATAGCATGATTTGAGGACCGTTTGTTTCGTCACGTTTTTCTTGCATCTCCAACACGGAATTTGGACATGACAATTGGGCGGTTTAAGGTTATGTCTACTTTTTATTTCTTAAATTTCCAATGTATGATTATTATCCTTAAAAATATCTGATTCGAACACATTGTATATCTTATAAAATTGATTGAGAGATTTTTTAATATATACTACCTTATAATCACTATTTGGTCAGTAAAAAAACTTTAAAGAACAAATTTTGTATGAGTTTTATCAAATCAAATCAATATTGTAATAAGGTTTATTTTTAAAATCTTTAATCATGTATTTGAATCTCAAGAGGTATTTTTTAAACTGTTTTTATTTAAATATGTGTGTATATATAAAACAATAACAATCTTAAGTCTTTAAAAAACGTACTAATATTTTTTAATTAAAATTTTTTTAATTATTTTTCAATTAAGATGATGCAGAGTTGACCCATCACATCAACCTAATCAGGGTTTTAACAAACGATGTATATTTTAGGATCAACTCTAATTATCTTTTTTGTAAGGTCAACTCTCCAGGATTAAAATTCGGGAATTTTCATAAATTCATAGATTATGGATTACCAATCTAAGATTGGCTAATCACATTTTCTATATTATACATGTTCACCATTATGCATAAAATAAGACCCACATGAACCCACGTAACCATTAAAAACCCCACAATTTATATGAATTAGAAGTACAAGGGAATAAACAAGAATGAAGTTATCAACAGCAGCCACAGTTGTATTGCTCATGCTCTTTGTTCTTGCACCTGGTAAGTGACATTCTAAATTTTTCTATGCTATTCTTATGTTTTTAAAATAACATAAATATAGTTTTTTTACTGAAAAAGAAAACACCAATATATAAAATACGAACTCGACTCAAACAAAGAGGAATCAATGGTGAATAAAATTGCAGGGATGGTGAAGGAAGTTAAGGCAGGAGTTACATACTCAACTAATTTCAACTGCAAAAACAAATGCCCAGATTGTCAAGGTTTGTGCACTTGTATCACCCATCAGTGTGTTTGCTTCAATCAAACTTATGCTTCGGAATCCGTCTTACCCTCGCTAAAAACCCAAGTTAAAGGCGGCTCTTAGAATTATTTGGCCTTGTAGTTTAACTATTAATGCCAAAATAAAGCAATGATGACACTTATAAATATTTTTCTACTCTTTTCTTCGCTAAATTCTATTTATTGTTTTATTTATATTGCCTCTAACCAAAACAAAAGTTGGGTACTTGTATGTGCCTATATAACCCCAAACCGACAGCAAACTGAACTAAAGAAATCGACTAACTGAATTATGTCAGTTAATTAAAGAACTCGGTCTTAACCGAGTTTTGCTCGCATTTAGAAGCCATAATATATATGGTAAATCGTTCTCCTATCCTATGTCAAATAAATTATTCAAAGCTCTGCTCAAGCATGAACCAGACGCATAAATTCATGACAAATTGCAGATTCTTGTCTCAAACATTATTATGTAAAAATGATATCACAAAGTTTACCCGGTGAACCCTGCCATGCAGCAATTTCAATTTTCTAGCTTTAACTGGAAATCAGACAAACTCTTAAGAGCTTAATTTCCTACCTTAACAACTTGTAACTCCCTGTCATCATGCCTTGAGTGTCGCGATGATTTCAATCTCGATCTTGGCATCCAATGGCAATGCTACTACCTGATATGTTGAACAAGCTGGTGCAGGTGAAGGGAAGTCTGCAACACAACCCATTTTCGGGGACTGAATTAAAATTTCTAGTTTCCATGATGTTGAGTTAGCATACAAAAAATATAGTGGACGATTTTGATAGGTCACAACTGTCTATGAAAGATTGATCGATCAACAAGTACACTCTGCGCATATAACTTTTGAACTTTATTTTGATGCAATTCTCAGATCAATATGCATGGCCTAGAACAAACTGATTGATTGTAAAGCCCAATGTATCATATGAAAATTCAAATGTCAAGTCTGCTGCACTTTATTAACTCAAACTTGAATTCCATGCTAAATCAATGATCTTGTTTCCCTTTATCAGTTTGTATATGAATACGAGATTTAGGACAAACTGATGAAACCGTATACAAACTATTTTGAACATAAAACATATTTTAACTTTACTATTGTACTCACATTTAGCGTAGATCTCATTTACTTTCTTGATGTCTTTCAAGTCAGCTAGCCTGCACAAAAGGAACCCCGAGAAACAATAAATATATTATTGACTTCGAGTTACCAAACCTTAATCAAACTAACAAACAGGAAGGGAATTGAAAAATCATACATAACTGTTGTCTTAACCACCGA